TATACGATGTTGTCAAAAATGAGGAGTGACTTCAGACTTCATGTCAGATTCATCTTAAGGAAAGTAAACTTGCATAAAATATTGAAAATTTAAATTGCTTTACGATGCCCCAAGCATTAGGAAATTTTTTTTTTGCCTTTGTAAAAATACAGAACTTTTCAAATGCTTGTAAGTACGTTTATGGTTAATTAAGTTTATTTGTAATAAAGAATACAAATGTTTCATGTTACTCTCCTTCCCAAAATACTCTTCACAAATGCTTACTATTTCTAATGCTACCCTGTAATAAACGTTATTCATTTTGCATCATGTATTTCACAGATGTACACTTTGTATTTCTTCCTAGATCTACCAATCCTGGTTAGACAAATCTACTCCTTATACTGCAGTGCGATGGATTGTAACTTTGGGTCTGAGTTTTATCTACATGATTAGAGTTTATCTACTGCAGGTAAGAAAACTGGGTTTACTGCTAAAGTAGTTTTAAATATCATTACTGTTCTATTTTTTGTGTTTAGAGAGTTTTTGAAGTATGGTATTACTTTGGAATTACGTATGGTATCATTCAGCACACAGTAGAAGGTAAATTAGTCTGAAGAAAGAACACATCTTGTTGGTGTTAAACTTACTGCTTCAGAACGGAGAACGTGCAGATGCTTGAGGATATTCATCTGATGGCAACACAAAGTGCAAATACTTCATTAGTTCTGATGAAATTACATAATAAGCCTCTGAAAACTCTCTTGCAATTAAGCTTTTACTTTTACTTAAGCTGTGTAACAGCGTGTTCAGGAGCCAGTGGTTACCTTCTGTCACGCAAACCATAAAGAAGTGCTCTTTCAGCATTTTTATCGCTGCAGGCCAGCGGCAGACCATTTCTCTACTAATCAGATGCCTCTACTTCATGCTAATCTGCAATTCAGTTAAGAACTTCATAATTGTTATTCCCAAAAACTGAAGATTACAGATTGACTGTAAAAGCTGTGCAGGTGGTAGTAATACAAAGATTTAAGAGACTGAAGCCCGCAAAGATGATTAAAAAAGTGATGGTTTTATGCTGTTTACTTCTTTTATGCTGCTCTTTACGATGTCTACATCTTGAACATAGAGACTGGATGCCTGAGAAAAGCTTTCATATTAAATCCGTCAATACTTGAGGGATCTGCACTACTCTCATGTTCTAAGGCTTGTTTTGATTAATATATTAGGTTTACAGTAGTATACCTTAGAAAACTTGTAGCTTAAAAAGGCTAATAGATTTTATTTTTTTTACCTTGCTTATTTGTATTGCAGTAAGGTTAGTCAGTGTTTAGGTAGCTTTAAATGAAAACTGTTACATATGTTATCTGTCAGTACACAAATGAAAGAAATAGATCCATGTCATGGTTTAACCTCAGTTGGCAACTGAGCACCACGCAGCCGCTCGCTCACTCCCCCTGCAGTGGGATGGGGGAGAGAATTGGAAGGGTAAAAGTGAGAAAACTCGTGGGTTGAGATTAAAAGACATTTTAATAGGTAAAGCAAAAGCCACACACGCAAGCAAAGCAAAACAAGGAATTCATTCACTACTTCCCATCGGCAGGCAGGTGTTCAGCCATCTCCAGGAAAGCAGGGCTCCATCACGCATAACGGTTACTTGGGAAGACAAACGCCATCACTCCAAACGTGTCCCCCCCCTTCCTTCTTCTTCCCCCAGCTTTATATACTGAGCATGATGTCCCATGGTATGGAATATCCCATTGGCCAGTTGGGGTCAGCTGTCCTGGCTGTGTTCCCTCCCAGCTTCTTGTGCCCCTCCAGCCTTCTCAGTTGGTAGAGCACGAGAAACTGAAAAGTCCTTGGCTACTGTAAGCACTACCTAGCAACAACTAAAACATCGGTGCCTTATCAATTTTGTTCCCATCCTAAATCCAAAACACAGCACTGTACCAGCTACTAGGAAGGAAATTAACTCTATCCCTGCCGAAACCAGGACAATCCATAAAGGGGATTTCATCTTTTCATAGAGTGAGAATATTTATTTTATACAGTAAGACTTTTTAATATTTTTTTAGCAAGTCCAGAAAACTTTTTGTGTTAATGTGAGGATGTAGAAAAGCACGTCTCAAGGAAGCAAAAAAACAGGTTGTTTAATCTTGTTGAAAAATCAGTATCTGAAAATGGTTTTCAGGAAGACTTTAATCTTAGCTCTTTTTTCGTCCCTGCTTCAGGGTTGGTACATTGTGACATATGCCTTGGGAATCTACCATCTAAATCTCTTCATAGCTTTCTTGTCGCCAAAGGTAGACCCCTCTTTAATGGAAGATTCAGGTATGACGAATAGTTCATTTTGCGATAATTTTGAACTTAGTCAAACTTCCAGCTCTATTTGTCTGATACAATAGTGTAAAGATGTGCAATTTTAGCATGACATTGTGTTTTTAGACTTGCAAAAAATCTATACAACTTAACATCAGGAGTTGCTATAAAATTTGTATTTTTTTTTTTTCCCCCAAGACTTGAACATATTCCATATAGTATTAGTTTTCTATGTTTTGAAAGAAGTTTTATGTGACTTAAGTTCTCCTCATAACAGAAATGAGTGCCAGGTCACTTGAGTTATTATCTGTTTTCTTTTGGGAAATCAATGTTAAGTTACATTAAAGCAGCCACTGTAACTGGAATCTATGTGTAACTGAAAGTTTTTCTTAAAGATAAAAATTAAAAATCTGGAGTCTGAATAGTGTGGAAAATTAGTGTGAGGGGGTTTGTGGGTTTTTTTTGTTTTTTTCTGTTTTTTTTAGATGATGGTCCTTCCTTACCTACAAGGCAAAATGAAGAATTTCGGCCTTTCATTAGAAGGCTCCCAGAGTTTAAATTCTGGTGAGTGGATCCATCTGGCCATGCTCTGTTTTTGAAAAATATAAATATCTGCATCAAATTAGTGGTAGCTGGGGTTGAAGGGTTAATTGTTAATATTATTTTTAAGGCACTCTGCCACTAAAGGAATCCTGGTTGCTATGGCATGTACATTCTTCGAGGCTTTCAACGTTCCTGTTTTTTGGCCAATCCTTGTGATGTACTTCATTATGCTATTTTGTATCACTATGAAGAGGCAAATCAAGGTAACTTGCCAAGAATAGATAGTAGCATTTGTGATGTCAGAATTTACAGTATTGTTCCAAACTGTCCATCCAGTTGAGCTCTTCAGAGCTATTAGATGTATTGCACATACTTCTTTACTAGAGGAACTTGAACAACTAACATTTGAACAGTAGTTGCAACTTTGAGCAAATATTGACAATGTGAAACAAAAATACTTTGTAAAAGAAGTCTTCATACTCTACATTAACAAAATTTTATGCTTGCTTTCAAAAGGCTTTGATCTTAGAATTCAATATCTGTTTTTTATACAGGATGAGTCTTATAATTTCTCATCCACTTCCTTTCTTCAGTTAACTATTGCTATTTTTAATGAAGAGGTCTTGTAGGATCTCTGATGGGTGAAAAGGGAAGTTCTGACAAGTTGATGCGAGAAAGTAGATGGAGAGAAGGGGAATAAGAACATAGGCAAGTCATTCAGACCATTTTTAACAAATTACTTTTAGTTTGTTGGCATTTTAAAAGGAAAACCCATTTTTTTCCCAGACATGCAGGATTTTAGATAGGTACTGTTATTCAAAGTTGTAAATTAAAGATTAAAGGGTAATAAAGAATTAATACTTCTATGCTCTCTCCAGTTTCCTGTGATCCCCCGATCGGTAATCTTCACTGTACTGTATAAGTTGTTGGGTATACCCAAATGTGAGATTTGTAAGATTGGGCTCATACCCCTATTTCGATGTAAACTGGTGTATGATTAGCTGTTTCATTACTTTTACAACACTGAAGAACTGTCTTTCTAGAGGACTTTGTTGTTTACAATGTGTATTATAAAACATTTTTGTAAATATTAGGTAAGTTTCTTGCCTCAAAAATTGATCTTTTCTCTTTACAGCACATGATAAAGTACAGATATATACCCTTCACACATGGCAAGAGGAAATACAAAGGGAAAGAAGATGTGGGAAAGACCTTTGCTAGCTAGAAGATGCAATCAACCTGTTGATCAATTCTACTTCTAACTAAAGGAACGATTTTGAGCCATTGTAACAATGCCTTTTTTCTTCATAAAAAATGATTAACAGAGTGGTGACAAAGCAGTTGAATTTTCATTTTAAGAGGATCTTGCTATTTTTATCTGAAATACAGTTTCTTGAAGGAACTGGCATTCTAACCAAATTGCATTGAGTTTATTATCTTTTGTAAGAAGTTGGAGAAACTTTGGATAATTCCATGCATTTGGGATAATGTATTTCTTTCAAGGTCCACTGCACTGGAGAGATTAATGGCTTAGAGTTGGATATTTTTACATAGTTCTCCTGCTCTATATCACCCTGAAGTGCTGTGCACATATGTGGAGGAAAAATGTAAGATGGCACACGTGATGCTGTTTTCTGCCTCGTGGCCGTGTGCTATTTTCATAGAAAAATACAGTAGACCTAAATAGATGCAGAACTTAAGCCAGTTTCCTAAATGCATGGTATTACTGAGTTATAACCAAACAAATATAGATGGGAATAAGAAATCTACTAAATTATGGGTTTTACAGTAGGGAAAAAATACTCACAGCTTCTAAAGTAACTCACTTGTGTTGGGTTTTAATGCCAGTTTCACCATTACATCTAGCAGATGCTAAAATCGGGCTCTTTCATGATGACTCAAAACTTTGTTCAAACTCTATCACAATTTCCTTTGAGGACCTGGAATTATAAATATATATATATTTTAATTGTTATTAGTTGGAGTTTCTTTCATACTTAAGGGTTTCTTGATTAATTTAAGCTGACTTTATGCAGCCCCTTCAGAATATACCCAAACTGGCCAAAGCAGACAAACGGTGTGGCTTTTAACGCAGCTTTTCATTTTCTATGGGGAAAAGAAAAAGGAGATAAATGACCTGCATGTAAACTTTTTCATGTGATACAACTGCAGTTTTATTAAGTGACTTTTTAATTCCAAAATTTATTAAAAGACAGTGTCCCCCTTTACTTGTTCTCTATCTTTATATACATATATTGATCTAATAGTATTTATGGCTCCTTTTCGATAATGGTTACCCTCAATTTATCTTCATGCAATGCCTTTTTCAACTCTTCAGGGAGCATTCACTTGCAGAAAGTAGGAAAAGATTAGCTCATTGAAGATTCTGAATGGACAATAGTGGCAACTTCAACAGACACCTAATTGGAAAATGTATGTATTTCATCTGATTTTGTCAAATGAAGTCATTATGGAGCTCTGGAATCCAGCCTTCAGTAATCCTGGGAAAATGACAGGTAGTTTTAGTTCACGTTGACCTGTTGTGTTTTGTTTGTTTGTGTGTGTTTGTTTTATTAGCAGTGTGGAAACTAGTAATGTCAAAATTTAAAATTATGGAAACAGTATCCAAAAAGGGCCTTATAAAAGTACCAGTTATGGATGCTTGCAGTTAGTTGCCTAAAAGTCTGAAAGCCCTGACTTGGAGAAGCTGTCTTCAGGTTTGCTGGAGTTTCTGAATAATATGGGGAAATCAGGGAGAAAAATATGTTTATTATGTTTATTAATGTTAGAATTAGCAACTGGGATGACTCCTACTAAACAACAGAGTGTTAACGACATCCATTGCAAATTAGACATTTTTACCTCCACTTAATTTCAAACTTCAGTGGCAGCTTTAGATTAATGCCTTCTCATTCTTAGGTAGGCATAGATGTTCTGCATTCAGTGGGATTAACGGTTTTCAAATATGGGTTGTAGATGATGTTGGGGCAACGGTATAGTTCCCCAGCTGACTCTCAGCATGCAACGGCCAGACAAGTTTGATGGCATTTTGTTAAGCATTGCTTTATTTTTATCACCTACAAGTGCTAAAAAAAAATTACCCTTACAGAATGCATGAAAAACTTGGCTTGACAACTTCACAGATACTTCCCAGTCATTGATTGCTTCCTATTTGTTTTTATGTGCAACTACGTGTTTTTCCTTACTATTCCCTTAATAAGGAGATCAGGCAGTGATTTCCTTAGGTAGTCGTGTTTTGATTCATGATACGGACCATCTTTCTTCCGCTGTTGCCTTGGCAGTTTTAAATAGGTGAGGGATGCCTGAACGTTTCCTGGTGTAAGAAAGGGATGGTTTTGCAGCTCTGGAAATCACTTTTGTACAGTACTGATGAAGTGTTCGCAGTTATGAGCAACTATTTTTAATTCCATTTATAGATATAATGAAAAGTTAAACTAATTTTATTGGAGTTTTTATGATAACACTTGGAGATTTAATTGTTAATTAGCTAACCAGGATCTCTGCGGTACAAATAACCATCTTAAAAGAAGTGCTCTTACTGTAGCATGCCTCCCCCTGCCACTCCCAAGTCCATATTCAGTGCCATTTGTGAAAGATTTATTGAATCTGTAACTCATGATCCACAGAGTGGATCATCTGGCTTTTTTTCCCCATGTGTATTTAAAGAATACAAATAAATTCATCTTGTACATTTTCTATCATGCAAGAATGACAAGATCTGTTAACAACTAACAATCTTTTTCCCTGCTGCTCCGAATATTTGTATAATGGAACTAATAATAACTTAAGGGAGTAAACCTTGACGAGGTGATGCTGCTGAATCCCTCCTCCTTTATACTCTAAAATATTGGCTTAGCTGAAATAGCCCCTATTGCCATAAAGAGGGGAGAGGGTCTCGCGGCTGAAGTCAGCTTCTTCGCTATCTGTGTTAGACTGTAGAAAACACCACACAGACAAAACTTTAGCTGTGTTATAAAACTAACATTTTATAGTTGAGCTTAGTTTCTGTTAGTATATGTACTAGGGCTTTTTTGAAACAACACCTGTTACATTGCTATAGTCTGTCTAGAATACTTGATGAAAAGTCTTGATATCTAATAGTGATAGAAAAGCTTGGAGTTTGGAAGCTGGATGTTAACTGATCAGGGTGCAGAGTAGCCTGCATTACTGTGGGTTCGCATTTGTTGCTTCTGTTGACCTAAGGGAAATTCACAGTTTGCCAAATCAAGGAAACCTGCTTTATTGTTAACCTTGTTATGAAAACGGATGGTACATGACATACATTTATCATCAGAACTTGAACTGCAGTTAAAGTAAGGATTTGTGTACAGCTTTTGTCCTTTTCCCCTGAACTCCACAGCACGGACTCATTATGTTATAGGAGAAAGGGAGTCTTAGAAATTGTAGAATTTTACTAATACCTTAAGCATGCTATGAAAGGTTGGAAGACTCATTATCCACACTTACATTTAGAGAATGAGAATCTGATGTAAATTTTTCATTGCCCAACATGAAGAAAACTATTACATTTGTGTTAAGCACTTTTTCGAGAGACATTTTTAATATGGTCAAGAACCATGTTAGAAGAAACAGTAGAGTAGAGGCAGAAAAAGATTTATTCTGTAGAACAGGAATGAAGTGCCACCTTGCACAGGCAGTTACCGGTTTTATAATAAAGTCTTTCTTGGACTAACTCAAGCTGTATGACAACTTTATAAAGGGTATGAGAGCTGAGGCCCTTGTTGTGAAACAGAAGAGATTTTTCCTTTACAGTTGATAGTGACGTAGGTAGATCAGTTTCTGAGGATGAAACTTCTCTCTGCACAGTGGACATTCTGTCTAGAAAAAGAAGAGAAATTAGATAGATGTACTGAATTGCTCTATTTAAAAGTTAAAAAAAAAATCCAAATGTAATTGTTTAGCTAATTCTAGGAAATAATCAGCATCCATAATTAAACATTTTTTTCAGTCCAGTTTGTGATGCAATCTTAACCATGTAAAGCATTCTAAGCTAGCCTAATTTAAAGAGCAACTTGAACTGACATGGGTGCATAAAATATGACCTTAAAACCATGGTCACTGTACACAGCACACAACACCTTCACCTGGAAGTAACTTCTTCGTCTTAGGTGCAAGTGACCTCTCAGAGGTCACTTCCTTTGCACCTTCAAGGAAGAAAGCCTGTCTAGCAAAATCGCTCAAATGGTCGCTGATGTTTTATTCAAATATTCTATTACCCTTGAATATTGCTAAGTAATGCTGCCATATACTAATTTCAGAGGTAATTTGTGGTTTATTTTCCTTCTTCATACTAAAAATAATTTCCTTTATTGTTACGTGCAGCTGAACTAGAATAGCAGACTGCTAGTCTCTTTATTGCCATCTTTACTCAAAATACCTAGTATTGCATTATGCATGCTTTTACTCAAGTGTATTACAGGCCAGTTTCATTGCAGAGTTCATTTGTCTTAGGGTTGCAGGCAGTTTTTCTCAGTTGCTTTGTCCTGAGTTTATCGTAAGCAGTTTCCCAACAAGGGCCATGCTTTTACCTGCTATTTAAAACAAGCATTTCCTGAAGCAGTAAGCCAAAACAAACTGGATGGATTCTTAACGGTTCTTTTGGTGTTTGTTTGATTTTCTTTTTTTTTTAATTTTTTTTTTAATCTAGGTGGCAATACTACTTCTTCAGTTAATTTTGCTAACAGGTAGAATAAAAAAAATACAGTTAGAGCCAGTATGAGGAAACTTTTATTCATGTACACTAGAAGTAGTGTTTAAAGATACTGACTGTGTGTTATAAGATACTCTTAGTTCTCTAAATCAGAGCTCTTAAATTTTTGTATCTTCACTTGGTGAATCCAGTAAGAGAGTCAAAGGATTTATTAGGTCAGCACATTCCAAAAGACTAAAAGTTACTAAAATGGTAACAATTGTTGTCAGTGTTAAGAAAAAATAAGCTTAAGTCTCTGTATCTGAAACAAAAAATCCTGTGCCATGGATGTTGAACTGCTCTCTGAGTAGTAAATTAGTCACCAAGTATTTAGGGCAAAGAATAAGGTAAAGATGCAATTATGGTGAATGGATGTTTTCAGATCTCAAATATCACTGTGTAATACAATTTTCATGCTGTCTACCTACAGATACGTGCATCTGGGACAGCTTTAGAGTAGACAACAGTGCAAAAAAATGGCACAAAATAAATGTCCTCTAACAGAGATAGCTCTATTGTCAGCTAGTACTCACATTGCAAACTGACAACTGAAATTGTCAGTAGCCTTCTAAGTGTGCTTCTGTGGGATTCAAATTTCTAATCCTTCCACATTAGTTGAAGATACTTCAAGCAGGGAGTCAGCAGAGCAATTTGTAATGCTAACTCATTTGAAGTTCTTCCTTAATTTTCCAGTCAGAGGTGTTACGGGAAGTGAGGACTAATCTTCATTCTAGATTACAAATACAACTTTTTTTAATTGATGCCCAACCACATAAGGGACCAAATAAACTTGAATAAGGCCACACTGCAAAAGGATCATTTACCTAACTTATTCTAATCAAACTTTGAAAATGTGTGTGAAAACTTTAGTTCGTGATGCTTCAGCTTCCTACTGGAAACTATAAAAGTCCAAATAAAGTTTTGGGAGGTAGATAGAAATCCATTTTGCATCTCCTTGCTAATAATTATCAGCTTTGAGTGATTTATCCCCCCCACCCCCCCGATTTTAAAGTGGACTAAGTTTTTTGCTTTTTAATTTCAGATTCGTAAGAAGGCAGTATTTGGGAGTTAATATTGTTGCATTAAGGATATTCAACAATCTTCCTTATGTTTTTCATCAAATATCATATTCTGAACACTGTGATAGGAAATCTGTGTATGGGAACTGTTCCTCTAATAACTCAGTTCTTCTGATAGCTATCTGGTTAAGAAAATGGTCTCGAACACTTTCTGTTACAGTCTAGCAGGATAGTTTCAGTTTAAGGGGCACTCTTTAGGTACCTGCTTCAGTTACACTCATTCCCAGCCTAGTGAGTTGGTTTTCTGAAGGGAGCCCCCACTAGCTTTCAGTTCTGTGTCACAGTAGTGAACTTGCACATCCAGCTGAAACTTGGTAACGTTTGCTGCCTCCCTTACATTTCTCTTTCAGAAACAAACAGCTGATAACCTGAAAACTGCGAACTGGAGGGGCGGGTAGTATGGTTTGTGTTAGGCAAACTTTTTTTTTTTTTAAAAAAAGGATTAAATTAATCTAACTACCCCATGAGAAAAGCATCTATTTTCACAACCTTGGAAAACACATCTGAGTAATTCAGTAGATTACCACTCCTTCCCCGCAGCTAGATGGAAGTTTCTACCACAGCTTCCAACAGCATTCAGGCAAGACTGATGAACATTGGCTAGGTCTTTACAAGCAAATCTGAAGTGACTCTTGATGTTCCCTGATTAGTGTCAGGGTGGTGTTAGGAAGGCATTAGCTCATTGCATGTTGCATTCTAGTTTGTGTCTTCAAATGGTGTATCTATCGTAGAACTTAACAGCTTGCATAGGTATAACCTTGGTGCATTTAAATACAGGCCTTTGACTTTTGCTATACTGATTTTAGTGTCAAGATCAATTTTGGATCCTAAGGAAATTCTCTGAGAAGTTGTATTTGCTTGATTCTGTTCCACCACAGCCATACTAGTATCAGCATAGGAAAATTTAAGTAGATCACACTACTCATTTCTAAAACAGCTGCAGTAATAAATCAGAGTTATAGCACGGACGTAGCCTCTGTGGCAAAGATTTTATTTGTAAGTAACACTTGATGCCTTTTTTCTGGCAAGCAGTTTTCACTCTTTAGAGAAAATAAATGGACAACGTCTTATTCCATGATGTCTATAAAATCCTTAATGGATGAAAATTCTGTTGTATTTCATTAATCCAGAGCAAAATCCAAGTTTAAAATAACATGCATAAGAGCTAGCTCAGTTTGGTTGTAATTTATTTATTCCTTTTTACTGGAAATCAGGTGAAGAAGGCTTCAGAACATTATCACTTTTGTTGTTTTTTTTGCAGTCAGAATTATAGCCTAGGTCTGTAGATAAAGGGATTATCTTCATGTCTGACTTCCACAGTAGTCCGATTGCATTTCAGTGGTTGGGACAGAAAACTGCTCGCCTTATTTACCTCATCTATGTAATGCATAGTCATTCTGTTCTAATAACACATATATAGGTCCTGGTAAACTCTCATGTGGGGATTTTGGGTACCTTAGTGAGAGAAAGGGTATTATTTCAACACCCAGGCTGACAGGTATTTTAAGTATAAATTTCATCACGTTTACCCCTTCCAGCCTCCATTTGTCCTGCTGTACTTACCCTGGTGTTACACCACTCCGTGATGCATTCCCAGCAGAACAGGTGGCCACAAGGTGTGGCTGTTGTATGTCTCCGTTCTTCCAAACACAAAGTGCAGTGGGAGTGGCGCCCAGTAGTTTTTCCCTTGGTCGTATTTCTAGTTAACATAGTTATATATTACTTAATTTTATTTAGCCTGCTTGTAAGAAATATTTGGTAACACAATCCTAAAGTAAACCCCATCTTCAAGTATTAACCCATTTTGTGAAGATCTCAAAAACATGAAAGCAAAGCATGAGATCTGAGAGATGCTTAAAACAGTGAAGAATGCATCAAATGTTACATTACATCAGGTTCTAACTTAAGTCAAAGTGTCGCTCCAGTGTCCTCCCTGTTCATGAAAGCTATTACATTTCCCACCATTGCTTCCACCTCTTTACTAGTAAGTAAAAATCATCATACTTGTGATGAGCTAGGTTGCGGTGTAGTTTCCATTCCTGCCTTGCTCTCTGCTTCTGTTTGAAGCTGTACATCTGAACACCAATTGTTAGAAGAAGATGGAAGAGTGAAATTATTCCAAGAAACTTGTAACTTGATCGAATACTCCGATCTTCTCCTTGCAGTCCTCCAAAATGCAGCTACATAATTCACAGAAATAGAGATGTTTCGTTACTGCGGTTTAATGAAACTATGCCCCCCCGCCCCCATGTCAATAAACTCTTGATTTGGGATTGTCATTTCTGTTCAAAAAATTGCCACGTTTCTAGGACTTATCAACCTGCTGTCTCTCAGGAGGTCTAATGTGTCCTGGATACATCTCATTCAGTCAGGCTATGCTTAACTGTTGTTTGTGCAAGGATCAGTTGTCTTGAGTTGTCTGTCTGTCCATCAAACCTGCTGCTTTAATCGGTTTGGTTTTGTTATGTAGCTCTGAACAAATAGTCAAACACGTCTTTTCCACATTGACGTTGGGAATCGTTGAGGAGTCTTTTGTCTATACACATTTCTGGGCCAGTGGCTGATGTTTTTTGGAAAGATACTTACGGAAAAGACCATGTGAAATTAAGCTCTTCCTATAGAAAAATGCTATCTAAACGTGTACTGATTTTTGTTCAAAACTGTAAGTATTTCCCATGGATTCATTAAGCCACTTCTCACTTTTTGTGTATTTGTAGGAGACAGACTGGACTAGATAGTGTTCTGAAGTTACAACTTCTGACAGTGCATTCACATTCATTAGCCGTAACCTTCTGACTGCAGGGACTCATAACCCCTCTACACAGTATTGAAGATTTCCCCCTCACCCAGTCTGCGCTGCCCATATTATAATCAGCTGCAGCCAAATTCTATATCCCTTTTACACACAAGGCATCCCAAAAGAGCCCAAAATACTGCAGTGGACACCATCTTCAAACAAGAAACACATCCACTTACATACGTGATTCCTGTGATTCTTTTAGACAGGTGATAGAAAGTGCCTCTTATGTAGAATACTGCCAGATGTAGTCGATGAAGCAAAGGTATGCATTGTTTAAGAACATACACAGTTTGTAAGACTCTTTTCTTCTGCTGTTCTGTAAGCTCCCCAACTTGTTTCTGAATCCAGTTCCGTATTAAGGTCCGACTGGCTAGGCCAAGTGCTGGGCTGCTCTGCGAGGTTCTGGACTCATCAGGTTCTATCTGCAGCTCATGTTCCAGATGCAGCAATCCCTTTTCTAAGCAATAGGGTACTACAGTATGAAGAGAAACGAAGATGGCCCGTCGAAGAAAAGAAGGTACCCTTTTCTTGGTTGAGTCAACTTGAACAATGTTAACATACTCTTCACCCAGAGTCTGATAACCTAAATAATGCGTGTAACAGAAAACATGCAGGGTAAGACGGCAATTGCGGTAACATTCTGTGTGTGGTTGAGCAGCGGTGACAGGCGGCTCAGGTCAGAACACATCAGGTTTCAGAAATAGTTGCATTTTTTTTTTGTTGAATGAGGTGAGCATTATGTTTACATCAGCATCTGCAGCATCGGTATCTGCAATGGTTTTAGGCTTAAAGCAGAGATACTTTTTCATAGTGCCACGCGTCCCTTTTTAATAAAGAACTTTTGCTTTTAAAAGAACATTTATCTGGGTTGATAAACTGCTGCATTTGAACTCAAACTTCTGACAATTTAGTGGTTTCATATTTAGTAAAAGGCATTTACAGAAAACCAAACCAACCAGACAAACCCCCCCCGTTACAGACGATCACTGTCAAGCAGTCTCGTTCCAGTTGGCGGTCGCCAACAGCAGCCGCCTGGGACAGACTGCTCGCTGTTCACACCGTCAGGAGAAATGCTGAATACGAGGTTACCGGGCACGTTACCTGACAAAGTGGTAAGGACGAAGTAGGCTACATCAGACAGCAGTTCAATCTCTCTCCTCCATTCCAGCCACTTCTTGGCACCTAAGGGATGGGGATGGTTGCAGTTACTTGACATGAAATGCCTGCTGATCAAACCCTTCTCCCGGGATTTCTCCCAGGCGCTCCAACACCGGATTAGCGGCCCCGCGATGGATCGGCCCGCCTCCATCACCCGATCCG